TTTCATGAAACCGCTTTCCAAATAATCCACATCACGTCCGGCATACAAAATTGTAAGCCTGGTATCTTTGAGATTTTCGACAATATTTTATGGCATATTTAACAAAATAAAACAAATCTAATTTCATCAAACGATTTTTTTACCTTTATACCGCTCAAAGTCATGTGACACACCTATCTTAGTTAGGCGTGTTGTTATATTTAAAAATTGGAAATTTTCGCTTAATCAATATAGCATTCATAAATAAAAGTTGCTGTTTGTATTTTTTTTTAAATTGTAGTATTTTGTAAAAACGACAAATTTTCGAAATGTCTCTGTTGCCTCCATTCCTGATAATTCAACTTGAAGAGATATTAGATTGCTATAGCCGTCAGAGATAATTTAAGGAAATATATCTCCATTGTAATATTACTAGTGTATAACTGACATATCCGCAATATTAATTAATGTTACTTTATACTCGTCGTTACAGGAAGTCGTTTAATGATGCAAATGAGCAATAAACAGCACTGCATCTTGTACATTTCTTATTTTGTGAGAGAGTGTTAACATTAACGGTACCAATTCCCATAGCGCCAGATCTGCATTAAGACAATAAATGTTTCTTCAGTGATGCTCGAGGCCAAAATATTAGAAAGTCTAAAACAAATTAAATTTTCAAATCATTTCTTTAATATGATAAGAACTCATAGCTTTGAAGGAAAAATGAATATCTTGCTTTAATTTTTCATGAATATCAGGTAATCCCAAAACAACTTAATGCATTCGCTAAAGTTCACTGTTTTCCTTGAAGAAGGTTTTCAATAATTGCAATGAAAATTAGACGTCTTTTTGTCTTTTCGTCCCATTTTTTTCCCAACTCTTCTGTGGAAACATCGAAAGTATAAACATCTGCAAAAATAAATACATTTTGATCTGGCAAGAAATATGCATGGAGATTTTGCGAAATTGTGAATTTCTCAAGAGTGTGATATATATTAAGCGTCCAAAGTCTGATGAGCTCATTTTGTCTGTCTATCAAAAGGTCACCCACAGCCTCAGCCATATGGTCAGAAAACTCTGGTGAATATGCAGCATGTAGTAAGGAATTTTTTAACATGTAACTACTTATAACACTTTCCGCACCACGATTGTTCTCGTGATCATTAACGTCAAACATGATAGGACAGACACATTCACTGCGCATTGATTTAGCCAATGCATAACTGTCTCTAAGAACCCGGGGGAGACTTTTTATGATATAATGTTCAATTGGTGCAAGTGAAAAACGCATTAACGCTAAAGGTCCGAATGATGTGGATGGTGCAGCTGACTGCAGGAGAATGAAACAACCATCTCTCAATGCATTGTCGACATTGAAGGGTGTTGCTGTAAACTTACAACACTGTGGCCACCATCCTTCCTTGCGTAGTGCAGGTACGATATCTAAACTTATTTTTAGATTTTTATAAAAACTACCTGTCCAAATCAGAACTATATTAAGTGTCGGGTTGTCGCCAACATCGACAATTTCACCATTTGGCATTATATGGTCAAAATAAGCATTTCAAAGCTTTTTCAATTTTGATGCATAAATGGCATTCTGACTTTCTATGTGACAGGTTTTCCTGTGTCAATATTTGTGTTTCTATGCTTTAACCCAGTTGTATTACTCATTTGTGAACTCTGAATCTACAGAAAATAAGATTATCTCAGACAATATGTGCAAAATGTGTTGTATAAATGACCCTCGTGTAACGGCCTGTTTGGATCAAGTTAAATGTGAGGACCTAGGTACATAAAAGTTGAAGTCCATAATAAAGATTTCACTAAATTTGTATTAAAAGCACTTCACAATGTCTTTTGTACCTGTTTCATTTCACATAGTATCTTTCTTTTCTTATGTTAAATAGCAAGTGGTTCAAATATAAGCCTGCTGAGGCTAAAATTGCATGCGAGTTTTTCACTAAAAAGTGAAAAATCTTTGTATCAGACCATACTGTCTGCAAAAAAAGTAGAATGCAAGAGTCCCTTTATTCTCAGATTTATTGTATCATGTAACCTGAGTATAGAAATTATAAAAGAGACACAAATTTTTATTTCCTATAGCTTCAGTATGCATTTTTAAATGTAAATATGTGCTACGGCCTAAATTGACCCTAAATTATTTTCAGTCTTACTTGGCTTAAGACCCTTTTATACTAATATGGTATGCTATTTGTAATTTTTCTTTCCATTTAAAGTACATTTAATACATATGTAAGGATTATTTATAACCAAAAAACTCCACAAATTTAAAATTGCTGGAAAATAATACATCTTCATGTAAGGCCCCCCTTCATTGGAAAACCTCCATTTTTTGGCACAGGCTCATATAAATTTGACTTTTAAATAATTGTGATAAGTCTGATAAATCAAATGAGTATTCTATTGCTTTAAATACATAATATGTCATATATAAAGCCCTTTAAAATGTAATTTTTTGCAATATTTTAATTTTTAAAGCCCCAAATGTCGATAGTTGAAATTTTTCAATTTAAACGTCAAAATTTAACACGCGAAGTTGAATATAGAATTTATCATATTGTCTATAATATATATCCTATTGCCATGAAACTTTGTCAGCAGTCTCATAATTTATTAAGCTTTAGTCATACCAAGTTTTATTAAGATTGGTCAAATTTTTCTATCCTATTAGGTCCGAGTACACAGTTATCGTCCTTTGATTTTCGTTGTCCACGAATAAAGTCCCTAGTGTGGACAGTGTGTTGCTTGCCAATTTTTTTAGTACCCCTTCCAAATGTATTCCTTCATGTTTTATGCCTCAAATAGCAAGTAGGGGGATGAAATTACACTGTAAAAAAATTTGGGTCATGAATTGTAAAGTAAAGTAGTGATTTGGTCCAGCTGAAAAAGGTTAAAAATTAGCACTTCGGAAGCTGTCAAAAGATTTCAAGACCCCCTTAACATAGAATTGTCCATATTTTGAGTTAGAGCCGATGAAGTTTTCTATAATTTTGATATAAATTGTCCCAAAAGTAGTACAACACACTGTAAAAATATTATTGAGAAAGCGCAGGTGGGATTTTTTTTATTTTCATTTATTGTCTAAAAGAAATGCACTACGAAATAACTGTGTACTCGGACCAGGAACACTTGTACTAATCCAAGTTTGTTAAATGAATCTTGTTCTTCCAGTGTGCACACACTGGAAAAAATTTCTAAACAACATACAAAGTCAAACTCATTCGGATCACCCACTTTACTTTCTTCTCTTGAGCTCCCACTTGATACAACACTTGACTTAAGGTAACAGGTACGTAAATCGCTTGTCCAGCGATTTTTTTAAGAAATTGTATACACGTAGAACTTTTTAAAATACAAAGAAAAATCGAAAAATTTAAGTGGGTAACCGATCTACTTTCAAAGTTACAGTCATTTGAAAATGTTAGGAAAACACCATAAAGTACATAGACATAACGTCAAATTTACGCCAAAAATGAGAAATTTCAAGCTTAATTTAATCTGCAGTTAAAACCATTCCTACGATTTTTCTATAAAATTAAATGTTTTTGTGATAGTATTTTCCTTTCTATTGATATATAATTTCCCTATGGTTACCGAACTCCCTTTTTATATATCAGCCATTGAAAGGGTGTTGCCGACGGGAAAAGATAGTTGCATGACGTCGCCGAAAACGATTACGCAACGTCAAATCTCCATCAACAGAATCAAAATCAAAATAGAAATATTGTCACACAAAGACAACGACCGCTTCATAAACGTGTCTCTTTGATTATAATTTGTTCCTCTTAACTAATGCGCTATAGCGCCTATGGAATATTTATCCTGTCTGAAAAATGTATTATTTACCGATTATTATTTTTTTTACGGATTTTATGAGACCCTAGACATGTATAGCTTATTTCTTCAATCAGTGTGGGGTTTACGTCAATGAACAAAAAATTCCCTTGAATTTGACAGTTGTAGGAAATTAATCCTACATTTCATTGCAGTAAAAAAAAATTCTGGGTCATAAACATATATCTTGGGTGCTTCTAAGCGCCATTATATTTTTATTTTGTGTTTCAATAGAATATTTTGAAAACTTTAGGTTACATGGTTACTAAAGCTGGTACACGGATAAAAAAGAGGTGAACATTTGATTGGTTAACTTCCAGTGATGGTTATTTTCTTATACTGATGCAATGAAATGTTATGTGAAATTTTTTCTATGGTACTGGACAGGATAAAACTTTACTCATGCCAAGTATTACTTTATTTGAAACAAAGATAAATTCTGCACAATTTTTTTGAAAAGTGCAAATTTAACGAAGACTAATAGGGGAAAATCAATGGTGATATTACACCTAAAGGGTAATTTTTGAGCAGTGGATTTGTAATTTTTCCTTCGCGTATTTTCATGCTTTAAACTCATTATTCACAATGTTCATTTCAAATTGACTAAAGAGCAACGTGAAAACTTTTTTTTTATAATTTTTGTTCATTTTGAAAGAACATTTTACGTCCGTGCACAAGGTCCCACCCCCATTTCGATTCGCATTCAATTTTCTTTTCCTTTTCTCTTGCTTACCCTTCTGATGTAATTCCGCAAATTTCATGTCACGCAGCAATTTAAAACTCTTGTTCAATATTTTTATTAAAAATTATTTGCTTGTTAATTCTTTATTTTTCACACTCGGTACTAGCACTTTCCACTTCTATTTATAGACCATATTGCGGACGTGAAAGAAAGCACTGTAAACAACGGTTTTTTGTTTGTATAAACTTCCAAATGTTTATACTTATGCGAGAAAGTGATTATATAACACGAATATCAAATCAAGAATAATATCATTATTTATTAAGCATAGAACAGTGTATTTCCTCTTTTTTGTCGAGAATTGAATATCTCTTAGTGTTGACAGTTGTTTTGAGAAACGAATATATTTCTTTGTATGCAACTGTAAGTGTAAGTCTTCGACTATAGGCTATTTGCTATGGAATTTCAATAAATAAAATAAAAATATTATATTAATTTATTAAAGCACAAATTACACCCACAAGAGGGCCAAAGGCATGACAATTACATGTAATAACAAATAGTTTGAGCTTAATTTGTTATTGTGTGTATATGCAGGTGTTTGTAATATTCTTACCCATACTACATTTTGTATTCACGTCCCATATCAACATTCCCTTTTTTGAAGTATCTGATCAGTGCCGTTTACCAGTGTTTATTAAGTTTGTGTAGGGACAGCTACAACAAGGTATATACAAACACTTGCGAGATCGTATTTTTGTTCTTTTAAACAGTTGTGTAGAAACAATGGTGCATAGCAGTTCATGCAAGCTTTAAGTTGGCCAGCTAGTAACCCAACTCAACCACTCTTCGACCATCACGCCATGCCAAATTACTTTCATTTTCTTGGGAGGGAAGCAATGTTTCACTCGGACAAAACATTTCATTTCCAATTATACATTTTTTGTTATATTTTGATGAGAAGCATTTAATACTTTTCAACCGAATTGACCATTTTTCCGACGAAGCGGAATACCTTCCGACATCTTGAAAATATTTTTCTGGTGTAAGGGAGATAACTCTCATAACAACGAACGCAAATTTTCCCGTTTTCCGCTATAGGCGTTCATTTACGTACCTCTCACCTTAAATCGAGAGTTTGTTATTCCAATTTTATCACAAATTCGAGACACGAAATCAAAAACCGTTTTCACAACGGAAGTAGTTTCTGCATCTGATGGCTTTCCTATTCCCGAACTTTGAAGAATATTATATGTCAATTCATTTGGATCTTCAGGCGGAGATATTATGTTTTCAACGATGAGGTTGTTGTCGTATTTTATTTCCTTCATTATGCGAGACCTACAAATACCATGATCTGCATCTAACGATTTTGTCATGCAGTCATTTGTAAGAACTAAAGCTACATCTAAATTTCCTAAGGCTTTCGCAAGACCACATGGGTTGTGTCCCATTTGATCTTGAAGGTTAACATCAGCCCCTGACTGCAAAAGCACGTGTGCAATTGGTACTGAATTATACCATGCTACGTAATGCAACGGAGATGAACCGTTAATGTCTTGAAGATTACAATCAGCTCCCCTTTTCACAAGAATCTTAAGCTGTTCAGCATTTTCATACACGAGAAGCCCCATCAATGGTGAACGACCACACTTGTCCTTAACATTAAGATCAGCTTTGAAGTCAATAAATATTTGTATGATTTCTGAAGTTCTCATTTTGAAAATTGGAGATCTCCCAAAGATGTCTACAGCATTTACATTTGCACCTTGTTGAAGAAGATAGAGAATTGCATCTTTATCTGGTATCCACATGTCACGTGACATCAGATGTAATGGGGACTCTCCAAGATGATTCTGGGCATTAATGTCTGCTCCCGCATTACAAAACATCTGAATGACGTCAGCTGAATTGAACATACCAGCACATACTCTCATAAAAGCTGTTTTCCCAGCTCGGTCAGGTTCATTGATCAAATGTCTAAGTACGTTTTTAGGAATTCTCCCAAAGCCATTTTTTACAAAGGCCTTCAAGTAATTGTCAGCATTAAGGTATAAATCTAAGTATCGGTTAAGGTAGTTCCGACCTTCATCATCGTACTTCGTTACATCTGCTCCTATTGTTATTAATTCCTTTGCAAATGTAATACCAAATCTATAACTAAAGTCTAAAAGCATATGCCCGTCATAGTTCAAAGCGTTGATTGAAATTCCCTTATCCACAAACTTCTTGATAAAAGATAGTATTGTATCAAAATGCTCAATCTTTCCGTTAGCGCAAAAGCAGTGGAGAATGTTATTTCCAAATTTATCAACAACATCGAATTTTGATGTAGATATATTAACCAAGTATTCTGCTACACTTATATCATCAGAATGACAGGCTAACATTGCTGGAGTAAATCCAGACGGGGAAGAGGCATTGCCATCAGCTCCAGATATGACTAACAGTTTAACTATGGCAAATGATCGCTTTATTGCAGCTCTGTGAAGTGCAGTGCACAAATGTTTATCCCGCCGATTTAAATCAACGTTATATGTAATAAGTAGTTTACAAATTTCGATGTCGTCTTGATAAACCGATTCATGAAGTGGTGGGTTTTCTTGGCTTTTAGTACCATCAGGGGATTCTCCTCTCTCTAAGAGTTTTCTGACGCCATTTATATTTCCCATTTTTATGAGTGTTGTGAGATTAGATGAAGAACTGCTAACGTCTAACTGGTCTACTGATAAGGAAAAAAAAGTTGAAGTTATTTTCTAAATACTACTATAAATATTCATGACCTCACTGAATCGAGCGTCACTTATGAGTCTTTTTGTAGATGAAATTGTACAAAATTGTATTCTTGGCATCTATGATGAGTTTATTCACAAAAGATAAATCCTTTTCTTATCATTGCAATCTAAGATTTTAAAAATTTCCTGTAGAAAATTGAAAAATTAGTCAGAAAATTCCACAAAGATTTAATGCATAAAACAATCCAGAAATATATCGTATGATAATCAAGATAAATTTATCTAATAGACGATCCGCTATGCCACAATGATGTTACAACAACAGGCACTGTAAGATCAAACCAATACCGTGATTCATGTGAGAGAAGTCAAAAAAAGAATTCGAACGGTATGACTTAAGGAAATAACATTAACGAAGTTATAGCAGACACCAATTAAAGTGTTTTTTAGTCTGGATTTTTCTTTAATTATCTAATTTTCATTTGTCCTCTTCTTTGGCTTCTTTACGTAGTCAAGTGGTCAACGCATAAACAAAGGGGAGATGTGAAAAAATTAAGATAAATAAGAAGATGTGTATAATTGCCAATTGAGACAACTCTCCAATAATGACCAAAATGACATAGAAGTGAACAATTGGTATGATTGCCAATAAGACATCTATCAACCAGAGTTCAAATGAAGTGGATATGAAGAATTATAGCAGCTCATGTACAGAGATTGTGTGTGATCGACCACGATCTCTATTGACAAGGATTGCCGATTTTCCTGCCGAAAGTTGTAGGTTCTCTCCTGGTATTCCGGCTTCCTTAACCAATTAAAGCTGGCTCCCATAATATAGCCAACATTAACAAACAAACACACTCTTATTGTACATTTGTTAGACGTATGTATTATTTCAAATGTTCTTACTTACCTGCAGTTCTCCTGTAGATAACTTCAATATCCTCTGAATCCATTGTCCAATATGTCACGTCCTTTTATATATTTATATACTTTTTTTAAACATATTATTGGTTCTATAATTATTTTTGATGCGGAAAAACTCGTACGATTATAGTTCCATATCGTTGTTAAATCAAGCCATCAATACCATTACTGCAATGAATAAATAATCTCCATATTTATTAAACCCCAATCTGGTACCAGTATAATTGATCATAATCAATATTTGACTTTATTTTCATTACTCCGATTTCAAAATTGCGCGCAATAATCAAACTTATCACTGGTCGAGCTATTAATAACGTGATGATGGTTCGTTAGTGGAGTAGGTGAAGAAGTTTAGAGTTATAACTTAAAGGATAAATTACTTGCATCTCAGTACATATTTTAACTAGGTATTTTTTGTTTCATATCTGCCTATTGCATAGTTCTAGCAAAAATCAAAAACTTCTTCCAACATTGTAACTTATAGTTTGATTATTGAAGGCTCTGTCTGATACAATGAAACCTTTAAGACAAATGACTCGCTGTTATTCTTGCAATATCATAATATCAACAAACTCATACTCCTTTTATCAGCCGATATGTACAGAAGCCATAAAGGGACACATGAAAAATAAAATTAATCCGTTATCTCGATTTCCAAATCCGTTATCTCGGATTCCCAATCCGTGGTCTCGGATTCCCAATCCGTAATCTCGGATTGATAATCCGTTATCTCGGATTTCCAATCCATGATCTCGGATTGATAATTCTTTATCTCGGTTTCCCAATCCGTGATCTCGGAAAGTCGCAGTATGCGAGACATAGGGATTTCAATCTGGCAGCGGCGGCGTAAACAATTTGTATTTAGCTTTATATTTCAGAGGATATAGAAGACCTGGATGCTCATACCTAGTATACAGATGCCTTATGTTACGACGTTTCCGTCTGTCATATATCTGTTGTCTTTGACCTCATTTTCATGATTCAGCGACTGCTTGAAAAAAGGTTTTAGTTTTTTGTTATGTTAGTTTCTCACTTATAAGTAATAGAATAAGTATATTCGGTATATGGGTTCTCTGCAAGGTCTACATGTCCGTCAGACAGGATTCACCTGACCACGACCTCATTTCATGGATCAGTGATCAAGATTAATGTTACGTTATTAGGTCCGTTTCTCAGATACTGTAAGCAGTAGGTCCACTATATTTTGGCGTATGGAATGATTGTAAGGTGTACATGTCAGTCTGGCAGGTTTCATCTAACCTTGACCTCATTTTCACTGTTCATTTGTCAATGTTAAGTTTTTGTGTTTTGGCTTGTTTTTCTAATACTATAAATCATAGGTCCATTATAACTATATTTGGTGTATGGAATGATTGTAGGGTGTACATGTCTGTCTGGCAGGGTTCATCTTGACCTCATTTTCATGATTCTTTGGTCAATATTAAGTTCTGAATTGTTTGGTCTGTTTCTTGTATACTATAAGCAATAGGTCAACCATATTTGGGATATTGAATGATTGTAAGGTGTACACGTCTGTCTGGTTTGGTTTATCTGACTTGGAACTCATTTTCATGGGTCATTGATAATTTTAAGTTTATGTGATACTTGTAGTAAAACTTTATGTTTAAGACTATCAGCATAAAATCAATCATGGTTACTAAAGCAGTCGAGACATTTCAGCTTGTGCACTCTTGTTTAATTTTTTTTTGGCATTTCCTTGCCATTGTTTCAAAAACTATAGGAGCTAAGTTTAAAGTGTAAATGACAAAAAATATCAGCATGACAAGGTGTATCTATCCTAAAAATTAAAGAAAATCTTACAACTTTTTTTGGAGTTATTGCCCCTGAGATATTGATTTTTTCCCTATTTTTGTCTCGCCTGCGACGAAAGTCGCGGAAAGCGAGACATAGGTGTTGCTTTTTCGGCGGAGGCGACATGACAATTTTGCATTTTTTTTCAATCCGAAATAATGGATTGAGAAACCGAGATAAGGGAATCCGAGATCACGGATTAGAAAACCAAGATAACGGATTTATTTTATTTTTATGTGTCCTTTTATGGCTTCCGTTGATATGCGTTTCAATCGTGATAATCAGTAGATTTGTCATATAACAACCATAACATATACCTTGATTATTTTAATCCTTCTTAAAAGGCTTGGTAAGGAAGCAAACGTTCAAGATAATATTTATCATTAGAACAGACGAGTTTCCAGTTGTCGTTTTATGACACGGGATCATTTGGGGAACCCGCGAAAATAAGAAAATATAATTTGAATTGTTCAAACTGATTTTATATAATAAAGCCTGATTGAAATTTGCTGCATGTGTAATGAAAAAAATGGGATCAAACCTATCTTAGGTATGATCGCCAATGATCAAACATTGTAAATCAATGTGGTTTGATTTGTTTTCCAATTGAAAGCTAAGGAGAATCGGTTTTAGTTTTGAATTGGAAAAAAAAGAATACAGGTAACGATTTTGAACTATTTTCAAACTGGCCTACTAAACGAAATATTTCGTTGAACTTCTTCTAAACAAAAACCATTTTCACATCACCAATTTAATCTTTAGCCGGGAAGCAACCTAATATTTACAAAACATTACATCAAAATGGAGCATCCAGTGGTTGCCTCATGTTTTGCATGACTTTGTGTTATCTTGTGGAAAAGATTTCTTTAAGGAGAATCATGTCCGTTTATATAAACCAATATCTCCTTAAACATTAAACTGCAGTTATATAAAGAACCTATGTTTACTCATATGTCAACTACATCTCATGAACGTAAACAATTATGTTAAATCGTGCATCTATTTTTCTCTGATCATTCCAACCAAACAGCCAAGTAAGCTCACGTATATCACTTTTTTTTCAAGGAATTGAAGTTTCTTTCATCTTTTCGTGGTTTTTGTATTGGGCTTATGAATTTTAATATTTCTCGTTGGTACGTTTTTTCTCTTTTTTTTTATGTACAGTTGGTACAGGCCAAGAAGAGCATGTAAATGGACGTAAAAAGTTAACGTGCGTTTACTTTAAGTGTACTTCATGTTAACGCGACGTTTACTCTGTGTTACATTCAAAACAAAAGTAGACACACCAAGTAAACATCCAATCACGTTTGCATTTAGGCGAAATATTCATGTTTTCTATTTTGTACTTAACTAGCATATATAACAGCAAACTGTCTACGTATCCTACACTAACTGATAAACCCATCCTATAATTAAATGTTGAACGCCATCGTTCTGTCTACAAAAAAACTCACCGATGACGCTCGAATCAAAAATGTTTTTAAAAGAAGGCGAAATGAAGTGCAAAGTTGAGTCCAATGAGGACCCACAATTCCGTTTTGCCAAATACTGCCAGATTATATTTTCCTGGGATAGAAAATCCTTAGAAATTCGAAAAGTTAATCTATGATTATGACCATGTCAATGGTAATTCATGAAAACACTGAAGAGCTGCATGACTACTTGGCTGGTGATCCCCTCGTGAATAAGTTTAAATATTTAGCACTATTTAAATGTGCAAGGTTTTTATATACAGTTTTGAATATATATCATTTTTGAATAGCTTCATAAAACATATTTGTACAGATATTATATATTTAGCCATTATAATGAATTAGCATTGAGGTTTAAAAACAAAATCAGATCATTGATATCCAACTGAAATAGTGTTATCACGAGAATCAGATGAAAACAATTATCAAAGTATTCTATTTATTGTTGTTTAATTTACATGTAAAAAAAAATAAACTCGAAGTCTCTTCAAAAATGCAGTTTTATTCATAAGTTTGAACACATACTTAACGCTGTAAGGGCATGTTAGTAAAATAGTAAACGTGTGATATCTGTGCTAAAAGCCCGATTACTACGACTAAATAGACACATGGTTATCGTGCTTTCTTGAGTAGACATTAACTATATAGATATTTCAATAATGACATTATTCGCTTACTTATAGTAATCTTCATTTGCTAAAAAAAGAAAAAGCAGAAATGCGGAGTAATAAAACATCGTGTTTTGCTCCCAAAATTTAAAAGGATGTGATCATTGTTAAAGACTTCCTTTTTCCCATAAATGACCGTCTACCAAAGCGTTCAATCGAAATTTGTAAGTTTTGATCCATTCGCATCTATTTTTAATTCCAGTTGAAACGTTACCAACTCAAAACATTCTAAAGCGTACAACAGGTTAACTCGTAGAATAAGGATTCATACATTATTGTAAGTTCAGTATATTGTTTAAGCATGCAAGCAACTGTTTTGTTTCGAGTACTACTGATGAGTCTTATGGAAACGAAGCGTGCGTCTGGCGTACAAAATTATAAGTCTGGTATATTAATTTTGATGAGCTATCACATAAAATATAAGGTATTCAAATATTAAGATAAAATGAATGTCTTTTCTTCATGGTTTAACCCCCAGTTTAGTTCAAATATGCCTGTACCGTGTCAGTCAAGTAGTTTCTATGAAACTGTTTGAAAACATTTCTCTCCAAAAAAGCAAATAAGTATGACATTATTTAAAAAAATAGTACGTACATTGAAGATTGGTTTTTCCGTTTATATTATAGAATAACTCATCTACTGGTGCCTTCTCCTGTCTAACGAAACATTTCGTCTTCCCCTGGGATAATTTCCTTGATCAACTCCTTATTTACTTCCTTTTTTGTATCTTTCGTCAATTATCATTGTGATAATAAGATTAACGTTGTTTACAAAAATAGATACGAGTGCTTCCTTGTTATTTTGTTTGCAATTAATATCTATATTTAAAGTAATTATACAATAGAGATTTAACCGACAATACACGTCATTCTGAAATAAAACCCGCTTTGCTTATAATGCACTAAATAAAGGCAACAGTAGTATACCGCTATTCGAAATTCATAAATCGATTGAGAAAAAAACAAATCCGGGTTACAAACTAAGTTACATATTAAATTTGTTTTTTGTGACAATGATTGCCTTTCGAATGCTCTTCGTGGCATGAATAATGTACAGGATTGATTTTAGTATATAAATGATTTTTTTAAAGAATTAACTGTGTGATGAATATATGAGCCGTTTAATAAGGAGAAACATTACATGGTTTTAACTTTTAAAAGTAACCTAAGGTTATAGTTATCTGCAAGAAAAAGATTTCTTTTAACCATGTCAACTGAGATCGCTATCAAAATTTAGCATGCACAAACATTATATTTTACCATGTTTTGTTGGGCACTTAAGTAAACATGTTTATTGGGAGGCCAACATTTCAAAATGTATGCCATATTAAGATTTTGACCCTCATTTCACGGTTCATTGACGGGGACACACGTTCATTGCAAACGGGTCATTACACCCCAGTTCTATTGTTATACTTCATAGTTTCTATTTCTGAAACATGTGTAAATTGAATAGATCTATTGTTACGAATAACAATGGATTTTGACCACAGGTTGTGGCGAGTGGGGTTTCTAAAACACAGTCCATTGTTATTCATAACAGTAGAAATTGTTTTTTTTAATAGCACGAACATAAGAGATTACTTATAGTGTTTACTATAAGTTGTTTCAAGAAATATTAAAAAACGTATTTCAGGAAATTCCAATAGCGAAAAAAATATTTAGCTTCTATTTCGAATTAAAAAAACAACATTTAAATACTCCTTTGCTTAAAGCTAAAATTTTAATCCAATATGACAATGTCTTAAAGAACATACATGTAAAGAACTTTCATTTGAATTATACATTAAAAACATATAGTTTTCATTTGGACTAAGTCTTAAGACTAATGATGGCAACCATGGGCGGATCCAGCCAACTTTTAAAAGGGGATGCCAACCCAGGATAAAAGGGGGGTTCCAGCATATGTCCTCATTCTAAAACATTGATCGTAAAAATATGGGGGTACCAACCCCGGACCCCCCCCCCCTGGATGGCCCCAAATAAGGGGGTTTCTACATATGCAATCTGTACTTTTGTGTGTTAAGCGTGTCCGGTCGTCGGGTTTCTAATCCAGACACCTTTCCCTCAGTATGTTTGAATATGAATGTGCGGGGGGGAGGTGGGGGGGCTTTTTTGATAAAACCGTAACATGTAAAATACATTTATGATTACCTTCATTAAACTGATACATGTAAGATCTTTGGGTTATAAACATTGCGTTATCTTCAGTCTCTTCTGCCAAATCCAATGCCTGACTCAAAATGTCGTCCGTCTTATACCCGTCCATATTGACAACTGCATAAAAGGAGTTGATGTATTTTTTTTTTTTTTTTTTTTTTTTTTTTTTTTATAATAAGAATGCACGATACGGCCAACCTTGTCCTGCTGATCGATATAAGCACAAAGTCATGCATTTAACGGGAATATGCAAACGTCAACTTTGACATTTGTAAAATCTACTCACTTGTCAGAGTTTGAATGAAGATCGTCAAAGGAAGGTTACTAGTGGACTATGGGGTTTCATCTAAAAAAATCTTCTTCTTTTTTCTTATTAATCATGGTTTGAAATTATCAATAAAAGTGCTATCGGTTCTTTTTCATTTAATATTCAATGTAAACAAATATAGGATTTAGCATCGGGTGTAAGTTAGTTATACACTTCGGGATACGGCGTGTCTGGATAAGACACACCTATCCCTCAGTGTATAACTATTACTGGTGTTCTATCGACATAGTTTTCACGTTGCTATTAATATTCGGTTTTTACAGAGTACTGATCTGATAAGTCTATCCTTTTCCAACTGATTTCAAATTGTTTCTAATGTTGTGTTACTAAACTTCTGTACCTTGTTAATAGGATGCCGGTGAAGGATCACACATACACATATTTAACCCCGGCACAATATTTATAAGTGTCGGGGTGGATACAATTACATTGAAATACGTTGACATTTTCCAAAAAATGACAAAACAATAAACGAAAAACAGATATAACAGACAGCATCCAACAATTACCACTGTATTAAATATAAATTAACTGTTAACAAAACTTTACATTTTTGAAATACTAAGGCTTTTCTACCTCAGGAATGGAATAACTTAGCTGTATTTGGCCAAACTTTTATGAATTTTTGATGCTCTTCAACTTCGTACTTTATTTGGCCTTTTTAACTTTTTTTGATTCGAGCGTCACTCATGAGTGTTTTGTAGACGAGGCGCACGTCTTGCGCAAATACAAAATTTCAATCCTGGTATCTACGATGAGTTTATTTACAGGTACCCCTAAAATATGGCTGGGTTAAACATGTTTGTGAACGCTTAACCCCCACCTTACCTGAGAAAATGGTGTAACATCAAAATATAAGAACTACCTTTAAAAAATAGAAATGGCTTGACTCATCCGATCGACACGAAGCACAAAAAACAACTAACATGAGGGCAAAAGACAAAAAGTACCGATCTATTAATTGATTGATTGATTGGTGTTTAACGCCACTTTCAACACTATTTTGCTATTCCGTGGCGGTCAGTTTTTATCGGAGGAGGAAGCCGGAGTGCATGCCTGGAGAGAACCAACGACCTTCGGTAGGTAAACTGACAATCCTAGTCAATTAAGATTTGAGTCGAGCGCACCTGGCACGTGCGGGATTCGAACTCGCAACCTCAGTGTTTACTGGCTAGTGATACAGTAGTTCGACTACTTAGACCACTCGGCTACCCGATCTAAGAGTACTAGCAGTTACTGAAAGTTAGTTAAAAGACAATACATATACTAAATAAATTATGTTATCCCAGTTTTAATCAGTACACATCCAATGTATTTAATGTAAAGACGACATTAACAGTCTGCGGAAAGCATTATCTTGTGAATGCCGTCCCGTTTTTATAAGAATTCTACAGGTACAACCCACTTCAAAACCAAATTTCTTTATGTATGAATGAATTTTTGTAAAAGTTTTAAGTAGTTTATGGTAACGAAATCCCGGACTTTAAAGTCATATGATACTTCTTATTTTAAAAAGGTGAATATATTTTACATACTTCAAAAGCTAAGGTTTTCCACAAAACACGTGTACATAGAATTTCTTTTACAAGAAAATCCTCTATTTTATCCATATCTTCAGAAATGTATTGATATTGAATTGATATTGTGGAATGCGTCAAAGAGACAACAACCCGACTAAGGAGCAGAAAACAGCCCAAGGCCACCAATAGGTTTTCAACGCTGCAAGAAAATCCCGCATCCGGAGGCGGCTTCAGCTGGCCCCTAAACATTAATGTATACTAGTTCAGCGAAATGGGTGTTATACTAAACTCCGAAACATAAACAAATGAACCAAAATAAAAAAATGTGTGTGAGATCTCAACCCTCCCCTTAAATCTCTAGCCAATGTGGAATAAACATTAAACACACAACAATGCGCACATTATAACTAAGTTTAAGAGAATTCCGATTCGATGTAAGAATAGATAACAGAAGAAACTAAGCAAAATGACAATGATCAACATAAATCAAAAAAAGGACTTCTAGCAGTTACTGACAAACCAGCTCTAGACCTCAATTAAACTGATCGAAATATTATTATTTCATAATTTGAAAATCAACCACAATCCCTTCCCGTTCGGGGTTTAGTATTATAAATTATACGAGAAGAACATAACCCGTATCATGCCAACAATTGGTTTTATAATAAATATTTATCTATTTCCGATAGAAAGACCTTATGAGTGTGTCAATATTAATTTTTAAAAATGCCATCTTTAATGACTTGACAACAGTATCGTAACTATACCCTCATAAAAGAAGACCCTGAAATAATACCGATTGAATAACAATGAGATGAAGAACAACGATCATGAGTTGTTGTTGTTTTTTTAAACTATGTTGAAGTCTTTTCTTTAATCACAAAGTGATTAAAATCGTTATAGAGTTGTCTCTCTTTGCTTGTTGTTATTGTAATTCACAGACGCCAAGATTAAAATACTACATGCTGTCTGTATATTATACTCAGTTGTGTAGAGGTTCCATCCTCTGTTATGCATTGATAACCTTTACCACTTATACAAAAAACAATTATTCAAATTAAACATACATTTTATTACACCATCTTGTATTTACATTTTCATGACTAGAATATACATTTTTACTTTGTGGCATTACTTTGGCTACAGAGTATTCTATAATATGTTGTTGAGGCGCCAGGGTGACTACCGATTACCTATACACAATGGATATCAGCTGACCTATGTTGACGTAGTGTCCTAAAACCCCTGGTAGTTAAACACGGTTACAACTACCATGGGGAGTGACCGGGGAAAACACTCGTATTACCAATGCTCCAGTTATTAGTGCCCCACCTGTTGGCTGGTGTAGGCCTCCCCTCTAAAAGATGAGGTGGAGGAGGTCCCAGAGTTACCCATCTGTAGACCCCACCGTTACCACTAACCACATTTTCCAAACCTGCAAATTGTAGAACTTGTCAGGCCCGGAGCAAGGGATAAGTGAAATAATCCCCCAATCTACCAGTCTCCCTGGACCGCCACATGAGAGCCCAAATCAGCTACCAAATGATCTGACTTGGGTTCTCACCTCCACAAAATTTTAATTATTGGAGCATAGTGGAAATTTTTTTTTGTATATTATTTAAGAAAACCTGATTTCCAGTTTATGATAAACGAGTTCCATCTGTTCTGTATAAAGACAGTTCCCTTGCCCTAATGTTCTCTGGTATAATAGCTTTTCCACCATTTTCTATTACAAAGTTTTTGACCACTGAATTAACTCTTTTCCTCTTCTGTTCGATTATTGGACCAG